AAAATAAATAAAAATAAATAAAAGCATGCATGTGCTCACCATCTTTAGCCATAAATTGATAAATTTTATCTGAATTAGATTGTATGTTGGACCCTCCCTACCCAGTTGAGGGTCCTGTGTCCTATTCAGATATATCCTTTCTCACCCTCTGTGTGTTCTGCATTTCTTATATGAACATTTTCCCTAAGCAGTCTCATCTTGGCTTACTTATGGGCTCTACCATGTTCCCAGGACACAGAGTCATGACCCTTATGTTTACAGTACAGTCAGTCAATTGTTGGATGAAATATAGCACTAGTTGATAAGGAATGTTTTTCTTGGATATATTGGAGAATTTTTATTGCCATTAATGTACTCATTTTCTAAGTGTTCTACATCAATGCACATGTATACATGAAAACGTTTTAGTCTTTGAAATATTTGAATATTCTAACTCCCAAATATTTGAAATGTTGTTTACTGTAGTTATTATCATGACTTATAATTTCTATGCCACATGTAACCAATTTTTCTGATAGACATTCTTTCAAATAAATTAAGAAGTATTCATTCATTGGGGCTTATCAGTGAACACTCGGTATTTTCACAGTACATGTTTCAATTTAAATTTATTGATAATTATCTTCTAATGACAGGAATGTCAAAGAAAATTAAATCACAGACTTGGTTTGGATTCTTATTTGCTCAAGCCAGTGCAACGAATCACGAAGTACCAGTTACTGTTAAAGGTAAATGTATGAACATTTGTTTCTTTCTTTACTTACCTTTTTGAGGAGGTGTGGTGAAGCCCTTTAAAGGGAAGTCTTTGAGAAGCAAACAATCTTACTTTTTGGAAAAGGGAAGGGGATTAAAGAAAGCAGGGAAGAGAGGGATAAGAAAAGGGAGGCAAAGAAGTCAAAAGAGATCAAGTCTCTCTCTCTCTCTCTCTCTCTCTCTCTCTCTCTCTCTCTCTCTCTCTGTGCATGTACACCTATTCCCCCAAAGAAATGTAACTATTACATATCACAAATATACACAGACAATGGAGTCACTGGCTCGGAAGCACCAGAAGTAGGAGGGCTCAGTAAGTGGGAAGACTGGAGTTGGCAGTAAAATCAGTGCAGTGTGCATTTTCGATGATTACCTAGGGCAGCAATAAGTATCAAGCTGGAAATATCTGGAGCGTTAATAATTTAATTTTCCATGCACAGTGCATTGTTTCATGCAGAATGCTGTACTAAAGAACTTTTCATATTATTAAAAAGATCTAAACTAACATATTCTTAGTCTTGAGATTCTATTTTGTATTGACCTTCTCACTGAAAAATGAAAATGATAGTCCTCTAGCATAATGTGAAAGGATCGGTAAATCTGGTATCAAGTATAGGTACAGCACAGCTGGCTTGAAAATATATTTTTATATGTATACTGCATGTATTATGAGTGTATCTTGGATGAAACATGATTATATGTACAGGATAAAAACATGGGTAATTAAAAATTAATATGTTATAGAAACTACTCTCTAATGTCTCAATACCTACTATTCTCAAGCTCTAGAAGCATGAGGCTTATTGTTTTCTCCCCTTCAGTCACTATTCTACTTCTTACTCAATTTTGACTTTGCTATTAAATACAGTATTCATGCGACAAACAGCATATGAAAGAAATTACTCCAAAAGTGACATTATCTTTAGATTCATGCTTAAAAGCATTTTAGGTAAAAATGTACTCATTCCTCCAACTATTTTAATATGTCCCTGATAGTCATGTTAATTCCTGACTTCTAATTACAGGAGCTATTGAAATACAGCAGAGATTCAGAAGGGTCTACTCAGTTGCAGGAGGCGCTTGACACGATGCTGGATTTGCTGAAGTCAGTTAACGACTCCATGCATCAGATCGCAATAAATGGCTATATTGTAAGTAAATCATAACTTTTAGAATTTTAGAGAGTGAGCATGTCAATATTAGTATTTACTGACCTGGAATCAATTGAGATATAACATCTAAGAGGCAGAAAAATGGAGATCAAAATATTAGCATTATGACTAATACTACTAAGTGGAGAATTGGCTTCCGATCAGCAACTGAATAGCTTTTTGACATTCTCCTGTCCTCAATAGCTTACTCCAAAGTCTAGACCTGGGGAGACCTTGCTTAAAGGCATGTTTAGGGCTACTCAGGAAACTATTGTCTCACAATTGCTGCTTGCTGTAGGCTAGGATAGATATAGAAAAAATGGATTAAATCTCCAGAGCTTGTGGCCGTTTAATAGATTGGCTCCACCCAGTGGGGGAATCGGAGTAGTGTATGTCGTGCTCTAATTGAAGAGATGAGGAGACATAGTCTAGCTGAATTATCTCTGCATAGAGATGGTATGAAGACAAGGAATAGGGTGTTTCTTCTATCCTCCATCTCCACAGTAATTTTGTACATATGCAATGAATGGCGTGTTTTCACATAAAAGGATATAATGAATTCATTTAAAAATACAAATTATGCTTCAGGGTTTTAGGAGGTCAAGCGAAACACTAAAGTGCTGATGTCAGGAATCTGAATGTCACTCTGCCTTGTACTAATGTTCTCTGGTTTTCCATCTAGGGAAATTTAAATGAGCTTGGCAAGATGGTAATGCAAGGAGGATTCAGTGTCTGGCTAGGACACAAGAAAGGTGCCACAAAAATGAAGGATTTTGCTAGATTCAAACCAATGCAGCGACACATTTTCCTGTATGAAAAAGCTGTTGTTTTTTGTAAGAGGCGCACTGAAACTGGAGAAGGCTCTGATAAATACCCATCATACAGCTATAAGCACTGTTTGAAAGTAAGACAATTTGAACTGTGTAATGTA